GGAATTAACCGACAGAGGGAAGGCGTTAGCAATATCTAGAAAGACTTCTTGTAGAAGAAAGTGTTCAGACAAGTAGAAGGTGAACCAGGAGGGAGTAGGGTCAAGAAAACCTATAGAGAAGACATTAGCAAGTAGAGGTGGGTGAACAGGAGTTGAAGGGAGACAAGACATAGAGATGAACAGGGAGAGAATTCCAGTCTTGGGGAACAGCCAGTGAAGATGCCTGGAGTCAGGAGATGGAATGTCTTGTGTGAGGGACAGCCAGGAGGCCAGTGACATTGGATTGGAGGGTATGTCAGGGTGAATAAGGTATAAGAAGACTGGAAGTTGGGGGAAGGGTAGGTGATAAAGGGCTTTGGATGCCCGAGGGTTTTGTTTGATCCATGAGGTGATAAGGAATCACTGGAGTTTATTGAGCAGGGCATAGGGGGTTAGGGTAGTATTGTCAGACCTATGCTGGGTCAAAGATCACTTTGACAGCTGAGTAAAAGAAGGACTAGAGTGGGAAGATACTTGGGGCAGGTGGACCTACCAGCAGACTATTGGAAAAAGTAGTCCGGACTTGAGGTAATGAAGGCTTGCACCAGGAGGGTGGCAAAGTCAGAGGGGAGAAGCGGGCATCTAGGAAAGTTACTACTAGAATCCACAGCACTTGGCTACCACTGGACAGTATTTAGGAGGAGAGGACCATTAAGAGTGTTAAAAGCAGCAGAGAGGTCAAGAAAGATGAAGAATAAGAAGAGGCCATTGGATTTGACAACTAAAAGATCGTTGGTAATTTTGGAGAGAGTGGTTTTGATTAAATCATAAGGTCAGAAGCTGGATTGTAGAAAGTCCAAAAGAGAGTGAGAGGAAAGGAGCGGAAGCACCTATTGTGGCCTCTTCAAGGAGTTTAACCACAAAAGGAAGGAGAGAGATGAGATAGTAGTTACTGGGGATAGATGGATGAAGTGAGGGTGTTTTGAAGATGGGGGACACAGGGACCTCTCTCCTTAATTAGGCTAATCTTCAGATAAAACACATACTAGCCATAGGTGGTGTGGGCTTGAAGCCATTGCTCCCTGGTAGGGCCCGCCACACCTTGTCCTCCATTGGCATGGCCGTCAAATGCCCAGACCCACCTCTGCACCGCATCAAGGAATCAGAGGGAGATTTTAGTGGAGGATGTCCTGGATTTTCTAGGATAGTCTCAATTTCATGAACAGAGAGAGCACACTTTTAAAAAAGTTTTTCAAAAAGAATAGGCTTCATCAACTTTAGTTTGTTATTCAGAAAGTATTTAACAAGAGAACCTGCCCTTTCCTCCAATCTATGTACAGTGTCCACCCTTCTTATCATCTACCACCTTCACTAACAAGAGAAATGGAATTTTTAGACCAAGTATGTTATCAGTTACAAAAGGTGATTGTTGTTCGTCCTTCATTTTTGAAGAGGGCCAGTTAGGTCACGGGGTGATGTCTTGACTTACATGTGAGTTGGATTTAAGGGAGGCAGAGTTGCACAGAGTTGTCAGCCTCACTCTCTCTTCCAGAGTCATCGAAGTCCAGTGGCAGAAAAAAAATCGAGATGACTGGTGATGGCTCAGGATGCAGTGGATGACCTTGGAGTCTTCAATGTTTGATCGAGCTCTAAACACTCCATAGAACCTGCTTCAGCTTCCTTCGTGGTTGTTGGAACAAATTGTTTTCATCTACCCATTTAGCTGGAAGAAGTCCTCATATGCTTGGTGTAGAACCCCCCCAACTGGCTGATGGGTTTGAGACCTGTCAGTTACCCTCAACCTGGTTTAGCCCATCTGCCTGGATGGTTTTATTGGGCTGTGGCCATTGCACATGCTACAGCTTCTTGGAGTCACAGATGAGAATTGGGTGAAATGTGGGCACCAAAGGTGGATGAGCAGCCCTGACAATGGCCCTCACATCAAAGGAGCTAGTCCTCTTTTAATACCCTATACACCACCTTAGTAAATACCTATTTCTAAAAGCTAATGATATCTGGCTGGCTAATTCACATTAGCTGATACTTTGGAAGCCCACTAGTAGGGTCTTGTGAGTTACAGAAATGGCTTCCTCAAGACCTCAGGGTTATGTCTAGAACTCTGAGAGGAGGAATAGCCAGTCACTCCCTAGCTTCCCTACCTGGTCATGCTAGTGGGAGCTGGAAGGCTCAGCAAGATTCTATGACTTGCCCATGATCACAAAGCTAGTTAGTGCCAGGGGTAGGATTTGAACCCAAGTTTTCTGGACTATAAGAATAGCACAGTACATTTCATGGCTTCTCTCTCTTTTGTACCAGAGGTCCATTGTACAGGGTGTCTGCTCTCCCTTCACCCCCTAGTTATCTTCCTCATTTCTTGATTTGCTCATGTTGCTCTTCTATTAAAAACCTCCAGGTTTTCTTAGTTCAGATATTTATCTCAGACAGTCAAGACCTGGAATCCATCACTATCCTACTTTGCCAGTCTTGTCTCATGTGAATCCCTTTTGTGCTGCAGCCAAACCGGACAACTCACTTTCCCCTGAAACATGGCCTGTATTTTCCCATCTCCGCTCCTTTACTCATGACATTCTCTATGCCCAGAATGTCCTTCCTTCTCTTTGCCTGTTGAATCCCTCTCTGGTATGGATAGAGGGGCCATCCTTTGAAACTGAACTCAAATGCTGCATTAAAAGGTGATTAAGAGAAACATGTTTGGCACGTGCATGTTGGCATCAGGTCAACACAAGACTATGAGAGGCATGTGTGGGGAAAAGTACTGGATTTGGAGTCAGAAAAACAGTTTGAATCTCATCTTTGCTACTTTACTGGTACCAATGCTACTACTAGTAGTACTACTACTATTATTACTACTACAACTAATACCACCACTAGTACCACCAACTGTCTTATTTTCCTCTTCCTCCTTCTCCTAATGCTACTACTAACATTATTAATACTATTACTACTACTACTGCTGCGGCTGCTACTACCACTACCACCACCCACTACCTCTTTTTTCTCTTCCTCCTCCTTTTTCTTCTCCTCCTCCTACTACAACTACTACCACCACTGCCACTGCTCCTCCTCCTCCTGCTCCTACTGCTATTACTGCAATTCATTTCATCCTTAAAAAAGCTCTGAGAGGGATGATGCTTCCATTTTCCCTATTTTATAAATGAGAAAACTGAGGTAGACAGATTAAGTGAATTGCCTAGGATTACACAATAAGCATGTGAGGCAAGATTGGAACTCAGGTCTTTCTCACTCCAAGTCCAGTTCTCTCTCCACTGCCCACATAGGTATTACCTGCCTAACCTTAGTCAAGTTATTATGCCTCATTAGCCCTCAGTTTCCTCACATGTAAAATGAAGGATCACAAAATTAGAGCTGGAGGGAACTTACAGGTTAACAAGCCCAATGCTCTTGTGTTACAAATGAGAAGCCTGTGGTCCAGAGAGGACCAGTGATTTACATTCGCCCACACAGAGAGCTAGTTCAGTATCAGAGATGAGATTTGAACCCAGATCCTGAGGCTCCAGAGCCAGGGTTCTTTTCACTGCATCACACCACACTAGATGGACTGTGTGTGAGGTCTTTTCTAGCTCTGTGTTTATAGTGGCACAATCTATGCTTTGTGTCTTATCTTCCACCATTAGACTGTATGCTCCTTGAGAGCAAGGGTTCTTTTCCGTTTTTGCATCCACAGTGCCTAGCACAGTGATTGGCACAGAGTAGGCCCTTAATAAATGTTTATTGAAGTGAATCAACTATGCAAAGGAAAGGAAGGGATTAAAATAGACTTGGGTATGGGTAGTCCCCGGCTGCTCATTTCAGATTTTGTAACCTCCTGCCATAGTGGATTAGAGCACTGGAGCTGGAGTCCAGGGAGACCTGGATTCAAATCTCGTCTTTGTCGCCTGCTGATCATTTGACCTCCCCAAGTCTCTGGCAGTTTCCCCAGCACCAAGTTCTAGATAGGATTGATGGTATAGTTTCCCCTCAGCAATGATACCACTGTATTTGGAATGCACTGCACAAGTATTTGGCTGAAAAGGCTTGGCCTTCTAAAACGTGTGTGATTCTGGCTGATACTGCACTGGTGTTCCCCCTTGTAGCAGGTAGCTTAGAGACATGTGGAGCCCGAGGTGCTCATGACAGCGGGGATCCTGGAGACAGCTCAGAGGGAAGGTGAGTCAGCCCAGCTGGAAGCAGGGGGAGGGGGTTGGGGAAGAGTCTTTGGCCTGCTATCCCCCTCCCCCAGTCAGCACTTGGGTTATTACATTCAGTGATTTATCAAGCACTTATTCAACACCTACTGTGAGGAAGGCAGAAGTAGCTCTGAGATAGAAACTTCTTCTCTAGACAGGCTTGTACTATCAAAACCTATGTGTGCCTCCAAGATTTTGTGTCTCTGAGCCTTTCAGAGGAAGGATGACAGTTTGGACGAGCTGGGTCTGTTGGTAGGAGAGGGCAGAACCACGTTTCTTTCCCCTGTGTTCCTTTCCTCCCTCTCTTCCCCATCTTATTTGACCCATAAAGACAAATTTCCTTCATGCCAACAACACAGGACTGATGAAGAAAACCAAAACAAAACCCCAAACCCAACATTTTTATTCATAGCTTTTTTCATATCACTTTTTAATAACTACCTTCATCCTCAGAACAAAGAGGAAGTGTAAAACAAATCAAACCAAATGTCCCAACAGCATCAGACTACAGATGTGGATTCCATTTCCCTCCCTTTCCACCTCTCTCCTGAGAAAAGGGAGGAAAGTTTCATCATTTGCCCTCTGCAGCTGAGGTTGGTAGTTACATTAGATGGTAGGCCCAGAATAAGCAATTGATAAAGGCCTGCTGATTGATTGTATCAATTAATCTGAATGCTGATGTCAAAGCAATACTGTTAAGAAAAAGAAATGTGAAAAGCTGTGGATTAGGGAGGATGATGGCTTTGGAAGTGGAGTTATGAGGCTCCTTCTTGTCAATTCTTGCTGAGGAAGGGGAAAAGAAGCGCTCAGGACTCAGGTGTATTCCCTGTACACTGGGACTGTGTAGTTGCGATCCTCCACATTGTAGATATTCCTGTTTTTTTGCATACAGAGGGCAGCTGCTGCGTCACAGGTACAGATTTGGATCTCACAGTACATCCCAGACCCTGTAAGTGCAGAGAAATGAATGAGCCGGGAGTGTCGGTAATTTTCTTTTCTGTTGACAACCCCTCAGGCTGCCCTGCCAAGCTGAGCCCCATTGCTGGGCTCCTTAATGGAGACATAATCCCTTCCCCAGGGGAAGCCCCTCAACTGAGGGGAGAGTGCAAGCTTTTGTTTTCAGGGAGTTTGGAGCACTGCCCCTCCAGACACCATGTTAGGGTTCTGCACACCTGGAGTGCTCAGTGGTGCTTGACTATACTGTGCTCTCTTACCGCAGGAGGCGATCCCATTCCTGTATCTGTATCTATAGGTCAGTTGTTTGGTGTCACAGTTTTCTCTCTCCAGATGTAAATAGCAGTGTTCTTGCTTCCAACAGCACCTAAAGAGAAGAGCCCTGCTGAATGCTGTCCCCCTCTCCTATTGGCAAGCAGGTGGTCAGCCAACGGACACTCAGAGAGGCCACCCGGTGAGGCAGTCTGCTGGGTGGAACGAGCCCTGCTCTTGTAGCCATGACACCTGAGCTATTAGAAGCATAGTTTTCTCATCTGTAAATGAGGGGATTGGACTACATGGTCTCTAAGGTAATTTTCAATGCCAAATCTTGTTCTATTTAATAGAGAGTCTCTGATTCTGAAAACTTACCTGGTCCAGTCCTCCCTATTACCTCTTCTGAAGGACTGCAAGGGCATCTATGGAAAGACTCCAAGAAGTGCTAGAGAAAAATACTCTCTATAATTTTTATCTTGAAATGCATTTCTTTGTGCCATATCCATTAATTTGTGTCTCCTGTCAGTGCTGCTTGTAGTGATTCCCAAGGAAGCTAAGGTAACCACCCTGGCAGGGCTGGGGAACAGCAGCTTACATGTCAGTTGCATCTTTGGGGGTTCCATTGCCTTTCTGGCCACAGTAGCAGCCATAGGGGTTATAGTCAGCAATTGCATCCCTCCCCATAACCGTGATAGTCATGGTCTGGGATGTCATGAAGTGCCCTTGCACCTCAGATAAGCCTGCAAGAGAGACCAGTGGTCCCCAGTCACATGTGGCCACCCTTCTCTCTTCTCTCTCCACTACTGCTTTAGTCTATCCTTCCCACCCTTCATCTGAGGGAGAATCTTGTCCTCTTTTGTCCTCTCTATTTTCCTTCCAGTCTCTAAGGAGAGGGGGTGAAGAATTAAATTGGGATTTGCAAGGTTCAAGGAATGGGGAGTGCTAGGGAGTCTAAAAGATGCTGGGGAGGCACTTTTTATACAACCCGAGATTTGTCCTTCCTGGGGCTGGTTCCTGGGAAGAGGTCAGTCATGTGGTCACTTCTTACCACAGGTCATTAGGACAGCTAGTAGAAAGATAGTCTTCATTTTGAAGCCTCTGTAGGAGAAAGTATAAACCTGATGTCTATCTCCTCAGGTGAGGTCCCCACATTCCTGCTTTACCCCTGGGGCTGCCAGCCCAACCTGCCATCTGGGAGGGGAGAATAGGTCCTTATTCTTATTGGTAGGGACCACAGGAACCATCTACTGCAACCTTTACTTGATCAAGAAATCCCTGTATGAAATTTCTGTTGTCACAGAAACATATTACCCAGGCACTTCACCCCTCCCCTCAGCCCCCATCCCTGTATTGGTTACATAAATGCACAACTCATATCCTCCAGACATACACATATTGTAATTCAGGTACAGAAACAAGCACTCAGACCACCTCAATTCACACACTCATTACAATACTCAGGACCAGAGAAAGACAGAGATAAATCAGTATGTATAGAGTATTACTGGCACAGAGAAGTGTACTCACTTAACAATTTTTAACAAGCGATTCTTAATTTTTTTTTATGTCCTGAATCCCTTTGGCAGTCTGGTGAAGCCTGCAGACCTATTCTCAGAATCGTTTTAGATGCATAAAATAAAATACATAGGAGTATAAAGGAAACCAAATTACATTGAAAGTTACAAAATATTTTAAATAACTGGAACTTCACAGACAACATAGACAACATACAGGTCAAGAACCCCTTCAGACTCTAAACATATCTAATAATACAGAACATAGAAACAGACACATACTCTCTGACTTTGACAAATGTCATCTGGTCTTTGAGGCTCCAGATGTCTTCAGCTGTTTCTTGGTTCAATCTGTTCACTGCAGGGCTTTTGAGCCCAATTTGTCCTCAAGACTGAGAACCTCCATATATAGATCCAGGAGGACTCTGAGGTGGCTGAGAGTTCCCACCCCCTGGGGTAGGGATTCCCAGAAACCTGCCCAACATCGAGAGTCCACGTTACAAGGAGAAGGGGCTGGGCCACAGTCTGCTCTGGGAGTCCACAAGGAGCTCCTCCAGGTCCCCCAGGAGCCATTCCTTCAGAGGGGAAGGCAGCCTCTTTTGATGGCATTATAGGTGATAGGCTAATTGCTGACTCTCAGTTGGGTTAGATTCAGGGATTCTGTGTCTTGAGGATGGTTGGGAGGCACACTCACCTTCCAACACTGGGCTCTCCATGCTGCCTCGGAATTTGGACTGTGGCCACTGACAGCTCTGTAAACATTTGCTAGAGTGCCTACTCATAGCAAAGGCCCAATCACTCGTTCAGCACCCCAGCCAAATGCCCACTCTATATAGAGCCTTCTATGAGGTGTTTTGGTTGTAGTTGGGTGGGGGGCAGAGAGAGCAGCGGAGAAAGAGGCAGAAGGGTAAGGCAAAAAATTGAGGTTAGAAAAAGGAAGAGGTAAAGATCCTAAATACTTGAGTTAAGAGGGAGTCACTAGAGTTCATTGAATAAGGGCTTCAGGAACGTCAGTTTAAGATTTCCTTTGTGATTATTATTATTATTATTTATTTGTTATTGTTTATTTTTAGTTTTCAACATTCACTCCCATAAGATTTTGAGTTCCGAATTTTCTTCCCATCTTCCCCCTCCCCCATCCCCAGATGGCATGCATTTTGATTATGCCTTTTCCTAATCTTCCCTCCCTTCTATCTCCTCCCCCCCACTTCTCTTATCCCCTTCCCCTTCTATTTTCCTGTAGGGCAGGATAGTTTTCTATACCCCATTGCCTATATATCTTATTTCCCAGTTGCATGTGAAAACAGTTTTTAACATTTGTTTTTAAAATTTTGGGTTCCAAATTTTCTCCCTTCCTCTCTACCCAGACCCTCATTGAGAAGGCAAGCAACTCAATACGTGTTATACATGTGTAGTCATGCAACACACTTCCATAGTAGTCATGTTGTGAAAAACTACCTATATTTCCCTTAATCCTATCCCACTCCTTCTTTATTCTATTCTCTCTTTTGACCTTGTCCCTCTTCAGAAGTGTTTGCTTTTGATTACCCCCTCCCCTAATTTGCCCTCCCTTCTACCATCCCCCTGCCCTCTTATCCCCTTCCCCCCTATTTTTCTGTAGGGTAAGATAGATTTCCAAACCCAATTGAATGTGCATATCATTTCCTCCTTACACTAAATCTGATGAGAATGAGATGCACTCATTCCCTCTTACCTTCCCCCACTTTCCCTCCACTGTAAAAGTTTTTTCTTGTCGGTTTTATGTGAGATAATTTACCCCATTCTACCTCTGCCTTTCTCCCGGTATAGTCGTCTCTCACCTCTTAATTTTATTTTTAGATATCACCCCCTCATCTTCAACTCATCCTATGCCATCTATCTATCTATCTATCTATCTATCTATCTATCTATCTATCTATCTATCTATCTAATTTTTTCCCCCTTCAACTACCCTAATACTGACAAAGGTCTCATGAGTTACAAATATCATCTTTCCATGTAAAAATGTAAACAGTTCAACTTTAATAAATCCCTTATGATTTCTCTTTTCTGTTTACCTTTTCGTGCTTCTCTTGAGTCTTGTATTTGAAAGTAGAATTTTCTATTCAGCTCTGGTCTTTTCATCAAGAATGCTTGAAAGTGCTCTATTTCATTGAATGTCCACTTTCCCCCCGAAGGATTATACTCACTTTTACTGGGTAGATGATTCTTGTTTGTAATCCTAGCTCCTTTGCTCTCTGGAATATTATAATCCAAGCTCTCTGGTCCCTTAATGTAGAACCTGCTAAATCTTGTGTTATCCTGATTGTGTTTCCACAATACTCCCGTTGTTTCTTTCTGGCTGCTTGCAATATTTTTTCCTTGACCTGGGAACTCTGAAATTTGGCTATAATATTCCTAGGAGTTTTCCTTTGGGGATCTATTTCAGGAGGTGATTAATGGAATCTTTCCATTTCTATTTTACCCTGTGGTTCTAGAATATCAGGGCAGTTTTCCTTGATAATTTCTTGAAAGATGATGTCTAGGTTCTTTTTTTGATCATGGCTTTCAGATAGTCCAATAATTTTTAAATTATTTCTCCTGGATCTATTTTCCAGGTCAGTTGTTTTTCCAACAAGATATTTCACATTGTCTTCTATTTTTCATTCTTTTGGTTTTGTTTTATTGTTTCTTGATTTCTTATAAAGTCATTAGCTTCCATCTCCTCCATTCTAATTTTTAAGGAATTTTTAAAAAAATTTTTTCCATATGCTTTTGAGTTGAAAATTTTTCTCCCTTTTCCTACCCCCACCCTCCCCAAGACAGCACACAATCTGATATAGGCTTTACATTTACATACCCATTAAACATATTTTCACATTAGTGAAGTTGTAAGTAAAAATTAAAACCAATACAAGGAACCATCAGAAAGGTGAAACAAAAGGGAAGTATTTTCTTCAGTGAGCTTTCAGACTTCCTTTTCTATTTGGCCAATTCTGCTTTTCAAGACATTCTTCTCCCCATTGGCTCTTTGGACCCCTTTTGCCATTTAGGCTATTTTTAAAGATTGTTTTTCTTCAGTATTTTTTTTGGGTCTCCTTTAGCAAGCTTTTGACTTGTTTTTCATGATTTTCTTGCATCATTCTCATTTCTCTTCCCAGTTTTTCTTCTATTTCTCTTAATTGCTTCTCAAAATCCTTTTTGAGCTCTTCCATGGCCTGGGATTGATTCATATTTTTCTTGGAAGCTTTGGATGTAGGAGCTTTGCCTTTGTTGTCTTCTTCTGGTTGTATGTTTTGATCTTCTTTGTCACCAAAGAAAGATTCTATGGCCTGACTTTTTTGAGCCTATGTTTGCTCATTTCCCCAGCCAATTACTTGAGTTTTAAACTCTTTGTTAAGGTAGGAGTCTGCCAAGCTTCAGGAGTTTTATGCAGCTGTTTTCAGAGATACTTCTAAGGGAACTGTACCTTTTCAGTTCTTCCTAGGTGGTACGATCAAAGGTGAGGTGTTTACTTCTTTCCTGGCCTGTGCTCTGATCTATGAGTTAACACAAGCATTCTTTTCTGTCTTGGAACTGTGAAGAGGATTCTCTCTCAACTGCCACTACAAGCTCCACCATGCCAGCACTCCTTCTCACCCCAGGACCACCACCCAGAACTGTGACCCAGATCCAAGCATGGGCAAAGCAAGAGAATCCTGCCTCAGCACCAGGAAAGAGATCCCTGCAATCCCCCCTCTGATCAGCCACTCAATTCCCCTTCTGTCTGTGGACCAAGAGCTCCAGAAGCAGCCAGAACTAGGGCTGGGACTGTGCTTCTCTCTCACCGTGGTCCAACAGACATTTCCTACTGACCTTCTAAGTTGTCTGTGGCATTTGTGGGTTGAGAAGTCTAGAAAGTGCCACAGCTGCCCATGATCCAGTCTCTGGAGGCCTGTTCCAGGTTTGCTGAGGCCTGTGCTCCCATACTGAACTGTGTTTCTCTCTCAGCCTGGTACAATAAACCTTTCCAATCAATCATCCAGGTTGTCTTGGGCTGGAAATTTGTTTCACTCTGTCTTTTTGTGGGTTCTGCTGCTCTAGAATTTGTTTAGAGCCATTTTTACAGGTACTTGGAGGGGTTTAGGGAAGAGCTCAAGCAAGTCACTGCTTTTACTCTGCCATCTTGGCTCTGCCCAGTTTGGGATTTTCATGGAGGACAAATTAAGACAGGGGAGAGATGAGACAGGGTGACCAATTAGAAGGCTGCTGCAATTGTCCAGTTGAGAGATGAGGACAGTTTCAATTAGGGTGATGGCTATGAGAGTGGACAGAAGGAGACAGATAGGAAAAATGTTGTAGAAGTGGAATGATTTGATAACCTTGGGTGTGTGAGATCAATGATAGTGAGAAACCAACAATAATGCTAGGGATGAGAGCCTGGGGACTAGAAAGATATTCACATGCTCAGGGGTAATTGGGAAGTTCAGAGGATAAAGGTGGTGAGTTTTGTTTTGGACATGTGTTTGAGATGGCTTTGGGACATCCAGTTAGAAATAGGCAAGTCTTGATGACAGAAAGAAAGGTTGGGGGGGGAGGTGAGAACTGTACATACAGAACTATGAGCCATCTTTATGGAGAAGAGAATTAAAGCCATGGGAGGTGATAAAGGCACCAAATAAGAGAGTATTCAGAGAGAAGAGGGTTCAGGACAGCACTAGGGAACACCCACATTTAGGGGCAGTGATATAGAAGAAGATCCAGCAAAGGAGACTTAGGAGTGGTGAGATGGGTAGGAGGACAACCAAGAGAAAGTAATGTCATCCCAACTCAGAGAGGAGATTGTACGTATCCAGGAGGAGAGAGAGGTCAACAGTATCAGATGCTGCATAGAAGGAAGAAAGAATAAGACTGAGAAAAGACCAACAGACTTGTCAATTAGGAGACTATCTCTTTAAAGGGACCAGTTTTAACTGAGTTATGATATAAGGATTGGGAGGATTTGAGATAATGGGAGACTGGAGGGTGGTGTTTCCTTCCATGGAAACCCAAATTTGGAAAAAAGGTGGGTTGTGGGCAGGCCTGGTGGGGAAAGAAAATACAGTTGCAACTGATCTTCTCATCCTATGCTGCTCACCCTTTTCCTATTGAAATTGAAAGGTGTGGGGGCAAGCTAGGTGGCGCAGTGGATAGAGCACTGGCCCTGAAGTCAGGAGGACCTGTGTTCAAATTTGGCCTCAGACCAAACAACTGACACTAGCTGTGTGACCCGGGCAAGTCACTTAACTCCAATTGCCTTAAAAAAGAAGAAATTGATAGGTGTGTGGGAAGCAGGGAAAAGATCGAGTAAGAGAGGTTCCCTGGTGGAAAGGGAATTACAATTTTCATAGTAATCGATACCTTATGTGTAATGAATAATTCAGTCTTCTCAAGACCTGTCTCTCTGGCTGGGAAGTCAGAGCTCACAATGCAGCTTAAACTGATGAATCAAAACTTTGACAATACTCACAATCACTCGACCTTAAGTGAAGTGAATGAAAAATTGTGGAACCTGTTTCTATCATGGAACTCTGGTTCTGTACCCTAGGGGAGGTGGTCATGACTCCCAAAAGTTCGACTCTAGAATTATTATATTGTGGGACTTGTGGGTTTCTTGTGGGAAACTGCTAAGTGATTGTAACCCACCTTCCCCGCTTCATTCCCATTTGTGATTTAAGTAAATAACCTGTGCTTTTACTTCAGTTATGAAAACATCCCT